CGAAATAATTTATTAGGTTTTAATTGGATTTGAAACTCCTAGATCTTTTGAGATTCATTGAACTTTTCAATGGCATGTTTCAATCTCGATTGTGCCCTTCAGGTTTTGTGACTGGGATGCCGAGGATCACAAAACAAGGTGTGAATAACCATGCAAACTCACTTGGTACCCTTAATATTATCACCTAATCGATGTGCCGGTTAACCACACACGCTCCACTGATCTATGATAAACATTAAGTCACCCTTCGTGATCCTTACTAGTCCAAGTTAGTGTGCCGGTTAACCACACACGCTCCACCAACGACTTGGTAAGGTACAAAGTGTGAATTTCATGGGTTAGCACCATATTCACATTTTCCTAAAGTAACTAAGATTGGGAATTTATAAAAGGTTTAGTTACTTTATAATATTCATTATACTTTTAATGAGAATTTAAAGTCATTGTCCTACCGTTCGGCTAACGACCCTCCACCGATCAAGGAAGCGGTGGGTGAGAATGGACACCCATTAAGTTGCCATTTTATAGGCAACAACCTTATACCCCCCTTATAGACCGGCTTCGTGAATGAGGCCTACTAACGGTAAAACGACTTGATCTTATACATATATATAATAATTAACCATTAATGTTATAAATAGTATAAGGGTTGAATTTTAACTTTTAAAACTCTAAGGGTTTGGAATTAAAGTTTATTAAAGTGTGTGAAACTTTACAAATTCCAAAACTTGAGGGCAAGTTTTGTAACTATCCAAAACTTTTCATTTCATAACTTATGAATTAAAGGTTCATAAAAATGAAGACTCTTCATTTTATGTAACTTATGTGTTTTAAGTGTGTGTTTAAAAGAAGTGACCTTTGGATATCCATAACTTGAGGACAAATTATGGACTCCATTAAAACACATAAATGATCAAGAATTAATCCTAAACAATTCAGCAAATAATTCCTATCATCTTCTAAATTCATAAGAACATGAACATGATCATCAAAGTTTCAAGAATTATATGAACACATACAAATCATGAAATTTTGATATAAGCTATTGTAAATGGATTAGAACTACCATTACACCAACTAAAACAAGTTTTAAAACATCAAAACAGTTTAGGGTAATGTTTCTAGTCCATTTCCAGCAGCAAAAGTCGAAAATCTGCATTCTGAGGCTCCTACTCGCCGAGTGCACGAACCTACTCGGCGAGTAGGATGAGTTTACACATGAACTCGGCGAGTCCCCCCATGGACTCAGCGAGTTCATCAGTCAGACAGCAAAAAATCGACTTTTTATCACTATTTTGCATCAAGTATCAAACAAACAAGCCTAGGCTCTGATACCACTGTTGGGTTTTGAGCATTCTAACACTTCCTAAGTGTACATACAACCTTATTAAACCTTGGATCTATGTTTGTCTAAGATACATGCAAAATATTATTTTCCAAGGTTTATAACCTATCTAGCAGTGGTCCATACACCGTACGTGTAATTGTTTCCTCCCCCCCCCCCATTGTACAACTTTGGTAGTTTTTTCACTAGAATTTCGATTGCTTTATCATTTGCACTAGCATTGTCTATGGTTATGGTCATTACATTATGGATACCCCACTCTTGAAGACAAGTCAACAACGTGCACGCAATGTCTTCTCCCTTATGACTATCTAAAGATTTAAAGTTGATAATTCTTTTGTGCATGACCCAATCTTCATCAATAAAGTGGACCGTAACCACCATATAGCTCGACCTTTGACATGAGCTTGTCCAACAATCGGTGGTCAAATGCACATTACTTAGGGGATTACGAAAGAACTTAAACAACTTAGCCTTTTCTTCAAGAAAGTAATCGGTGTCTCTATATGAAATTGTGGTTCTACATGACAAAACTATTTTCCCGTTCATTGCATTTGTATACTCAATAAATGATTCATTCTCTACAAACTTGAACGGTAATTCTCCAACTATAAATAAGTTTAAAAAAGCTTTTTTTATTCTTTTCTCATCATGCTTCCAAGTCCCAATACTATTCTCCCCGTTTTCATTTTTTTTTTTTTTTTGAAATTTAAAGTGGTTTGGTTTTCTAGTTTTTTTTTTTTTTCTAAATTTTTGGGCTCATTCTACATCTTTTCGTATGTCCAATCATAATAGAAGTACCGTTTACGCCGGATTCGATTTTGAACAACGTGCCACACTTTTTGCATTTGTTATGTCTAACTTTGTCAATATGAACTAAATCATAATCGACCCAACAAGCCGCCCTTTAGACATATTTCATTTTCTTCGTGTTTGTTGTTTGACTTGGTCCGACTTTGTTTTCAACTTGAGTGTTATCAACAAACACATCTTCATCATCAATCTAAAGTACAATAACACAATCATTTTAATATAATAGAATAACAATATAGGTCAAAGTCCTCATTGTTTGGACTTATAGAGAAAATGTTAACTATTAAGACGTGACATAACACATTCAAATTTCAACTGATAACATACATAATAACACATTGAAAGATTGAGTAGTAGATTAACACATTCAAATTTCAATGAGTAACATACATAATAGCACATTGAAAGACTGAGTAGTAGATTAAGATACAAATACTTACTTGATTTTCTTGATTTGGAGCCCAAATTTTCCATGAATTGAATGGAGTTCGATCACAATAGAAACTAGAAAACGAGGATGAGGATATTTTCTTTTCTTACGTCGTGAATCGATCAAGGCAGATGCAAGTGTTCAAACTTCAATCATTGTTTGAAACCTCGATTAAGAGAAAAACGACCCAATCAGTCTTCAATCAAGAGAAAAACGAAACAAAAATCAGTCGTTTTTTTTTTTGTGATATCGATCGATTTCCTCGTCGATTTTTCCCATGTTTGTTGGGTAATGAGTAATGACAGAAAGAGCGGACCGAATAAGCTATCGATCGATAGGAATAAAAATTGTGACTTTTCAAATTCGGGTTCTGTCTTTTTGGCCCGATTAAGCCCTTATTCGAGTAACCCGAACCAAATAATCGAAAACCGAATAAGTCTCATATAGATATCCGAAAACCGAATCGAATTACTTATTCGGGCTTAATCCGATTCGGTTCGGTTTCGGTTTTCAGACCAAATTATCATCCTTAATTGTGGGTTAAAAAGATAGAAGAGAGATAAAAAAGAAAAGTTGATGTACAACTATATCACATTGGATTGAGTGGGTTGGGGGAAGAATCCCCCCCCCCCCCCCCCCCCCCCACCCTAGTAGCTAAAAAAAACTTTAAACACGAAATCAAATAAATAACAAAAGTTTATTATTCTATAATCACATTTTTCATATAATAAAACGAGAAAATTCAAATTCGATATTGGCACACGAAGTTACTTGGACAAATATTTTCCCCCAAATTAAACGAGGGTTTGTTTTGGACTTCATCTAACGGAACAACGACCATTCAAAGTTCTCTTCATTTGTTATTTCTACGCTGTTCTAAGTAAAGATGTCGTTGTCGTTGTCATCTTCGTCATCACTCTTCTTCAAATCCTTCAATAGCAACACCAAATCTGTTACTTCCCGCTTCACAGCTTCTGCCGATGTTCCAGACTTCCTTTCTGTCGATTGGTAATACCTCTCAAATTCCTAGATCAATCCTCACTTTTGGTTTTTTGATTCATAGCTAGTCGTAGATTGGGGAGAAACTTGTGCTAATTCTTAATTTGATTATATCAATTTCATAAATACATTCGACTTTTTTCATTACCACAACACAACAATCTGCTTAAAAAGAAGAAAATTGCCCTTTTGAATCGTTATGTATCGAGTATATCAGTTTTCTGATGAATTAACCTTAACATTCAATGTTTAATCTTTGATTGAAATTGGTTGCAGGTTGGAATCCCGCAGGAAGAGACCTTTTGGCCCAAGATTAAGTGTAACCTTCCCTTCTAATCAACCAAATTGTCTCTGAATCAATCTAACTATGTTTAATGTTTACATCTACACTTAAAATCTATGGATGTAGTTTAGTGCAGAAGAATCTGTTCATTACCAACTTGATGCATTGATGTTCAATGATCAACCACGTCCAGATTATGGGGTCGAAGTCATGTACAGGGTAATTACTATTTCTTGAATCCAATTCTTCTTCTTTTTTCTAATGATTTTAGAACTTAACATGAATTGCAGTTTGCTGGATTTGATCCTTTTGAAAGATCTCTGTATTTCGGTCCTTCTTTTGATTTGGGACAGGTTAGTAATTAACATAAAACTTTTTTTTTTCTTCAAAATCTCTGTATCATACTATCATTAATCGAATTATTTTCTGTTCATGTTTCATGTTCATGCAGTTTGAGCGATTCAGAAGAATTTTCCACCATTCAACATATCGCGTTTTACTAAATCACAAGGAGAGAAAGATCTTAAGCACTTTAAATGTTGAGGAGGTTAGTTTCGTCATTTTACACTAACCATATGTTATCAACAAATTCTTTTGTAAATTGTTTTTTTTTTTTATGATTTAGAATTGTTACAAGCAGAGGGTTTGGATACGTGGGGCTCGACCCGAAGAAGAAGAAACATTTCAGTTTACAATGGTTCAAGTAAGTTTTTTTTTTATTTTTTTTTTTAATTTTTATTTTGTGTTTTATTTTTTTAGTGTTATTGTTTCAGAGAGTTGGTGGGTTTTGGGATGGTTATTGGCTGACGGAATCTCTTCTTCATGATGGAGATAGCTTTTCCGGTGGGGTGGCATACTGAAAAACCACCGTGAATAGGGTGGTGGAACTTTGTGAATAAATGTTTCAACATTTTCTATTTTTATATGTTTATAAATAAATTATAGGTAACTAGAGTACATATATTTGTTGTCATGTATACTTAATAAAGATAAGCTCATCTTGTTACACTATTATTTTTTATTTTCCTTTAGTAAATAAAATGAAATAACAAAATCCACAACGAAATGACCAATAAGTAAATAAAACCAAATTTTAAATATTCGAACTTTGAATATTATATCATTCTTACAGATGATCATTCTCAAGAAACAAAGATCAAGAACAAATATAGTCCTCAAAAGCAAAATAAATATTTAGCAATTACTCTCCATTAAATCTTATAACAAGAATCAGCTTCCAATTGATATAATCTCACTTCAAAACCACATTTACTTCTTGGATTGAGATTGGGGAATGTACTTAGTAACCACATAGCAATCGGGTGGGGTGATATTTGTGTAATAATTTTTAATTGTTTCCGTGATTTCAAACCCAAATTTCTTGTAAAAACTTATGGCATCTTCATTGTTTGTTTGCACATGCAAGTAAATCTCACCAATGTTTTGCTTCTGGCTTAATTCAAGAACATGATTCAACAGCTTTGTACCTATAATAAAACATTAAATAAAATGTATAACATAAAATAAATGAAAGTAGGATGTTATAAAGTATAAATTATAACACACAAAAGTAAATGAAAGTACGTTGCTATTTCTTGAGTTGGATAATACTCACCGATGCCTAGGCCACGGTATGGTGCTAAAACACCGAGTGTCATTATGTAAACACGAACAGCGCCACTTTCTTTCTTTTCAAGGCGGCATGCAATCGAGCCAACACATATGTCATTGTAATATGCTGAAAAAGGTAAAAAAAAAAAATGAAAATTTAGAGAAGATTTAAGGATTGTGAGTGGGGAAAGTACATTGTTATAAAAAAAATCGACAACAAAATTTTATCGATGGTGTTTACATGAAGAGTAGAAGTGAGGAGGAAAAGAGGGATAAAGAATTGGTGGACCCTAGAAGATAGACAGGTTTCTGATGACATAACCTCAGATAGGAAGGTGTGGAGTGAAATATCGGGGTAGATGAGTAGCCTACCCCCCTCATTTTGTATGTTTTGTTCTTTTATGTTTGTATTTTGATTTGATTTATTAATGTATATGATTTTTTGCTCTCATTGACTTACTCTTATTACCCTATTTGCCTTATTTACAGGGTCTTGGATTCATATATTGTATTTTAATTTTTAATCATGTAACGCTCACTTTTGACTTATGTGGCAGTCGCTCTACCCCTAACTGAGCATGACTGTCAACATCTATCTACCAATAAGTATGATTACCGACATTTACCAATTCTAAAGCGCATCTACCTACCCTGAAGCAAGACTTTCGACATCTACCTACCTGAAGCAAGACTGTAGGCATCTACCTAAAGCAAGACTGTCGACATGACATCTACCTACCTACCCTTGTACACATCTACCAACCCTACCCTGAAGCAAGATTGTCGACATCTACCTCGGCTAGCTTAAATTTAACATTAAATCGAGGAATAAACTTGTTTTCCCACTTAGGAAACAAAACCATGAACTTTTTGAAATTTGGGAAGAACTAGGGTTGACATCAAACGTCAAATTAAATCTTTTTTTCTTTGGAAACTCAAATGCCATTAACACAACAAGCAATTTTATTCAACATATCGACAAAACAATCATAATAATCATGGTTACAAACCTAAAAAACCCATCATTATAATCTATAAAAACATAGAACAGACGACATTTGCAAACGTAAAATATTGAAAAAGGAGAAAGAATTGGGATTTATAAGAAAATCTTATATAGAAAAAGAATACCTAGCTTGGTAAATTCGCCGGAGGCAAGAGCATCTGCGTAATACTTGTCATTGTATCGAACAGGAAATAGAACGGAGTTGAGTTTTTTCAATTGCATTAAGTTTTTGTCACGAACGCCGTCTAATGAGATTGAAACAGCACGGCCGGCACCCATATTTCTTCCTGGTTGATCGTATGGATTGGAGATGAAGGCGATGATGATTCGATTGTGGTGTGGTGGGTAAAAGCCAAAAGGGATTTCTTGCCAAACGCAGCCTTGTTTTAAGCTTCGACTACTCTTTGGGCCTTTGGGAATGGGGGCGTGAATTTGGCTTGTCTTCGTCTTTTTTATTTACTTTTACCCCCTTCGACTTCTTATTGTCACATTCTAGTCCTTGTGGTTTTGTTCTTGGTAATGCTAGACAAACTTATTATAGTAAATATTGCATAAAAATGGTTCATGTTCTTGGCAAAACGTACTAGGTTTGGTTTTTATGATGAATTCCTTGCAAAGATGGCCCCTAAGTTTAAAAACCCTTGCAAAAACGGTCCTTATGGCCAACTCCATTTGTTAAGCTTCGTTAATTTTAAACTTTTGCTCATAACATGACCAATGTAGCCCTCTCTCTCTTTCAAACTATCTCGTGACTTACCTTCATCACCCACCCTTAATTTTTCCACAATTTGTCGCCTCCCCATTCGAAATTTACCTACTCCTTTACCTATTGAAAAACACTAAGCTCCATTGTTTATCGACTTCGGAATCGAAAACCCCCATCCCTATCGAAAACCCTTCGACCAAAATAATAAGGTTTCTAAGAGATAATAGGGTGGGGATTTCGAGCAAAGAGTAGAGGTGGAAAAAAACTAACATGACATGAAACCCGACACAAACCCAACACGAAATAAATGGTTTTGGGTAAGATATTTCAACTCGTTTAATTAAACGGGTTGACGCGACAAAACGTGAAAATTAAACGGGAAAGGTTAGGGTTGAGAATTTCAACTCGAAAATGACTCAAATTTTATATGTAAGTCTTTTTTTTTCTAAATAAACTAGAAAGACCTAAAACCAAAACCATACGTAAAAAAAACTTTTGTGTTTAGTCATTTTGTAATTTGGAAACGACTTAGTTGTCTGGGTGAAGACTTTGTTTTTAGTTTTATGGTTATCCCCCAAATTACATAGTCTCCTCGACCACTCCCTCATCCGAATGATCCCTCCGGCGCCTCCCAACTTATACTCATTCCATTTTTCCCTCTAAACTTATTATAAATTTATCCATTCTGCCTCCCAACTATTATTTTTTCCTTTCTGTCTACCCAAATCATACTCTTTCAACATGTTTAGTGTTTCAACCTCACATTTCATGACACATTTTAAGGTATACCCTTAACCCGAAACCTAACACAAAATCGACCGGAAAATAAACAGGTTGATAGGACACGACATGTTAATTAAACGAGACGGATTAGGGTTAAGCTCTATCAATCCGTTTACTGTTTTGTCACAACATACATGTTTTGGCAAGTCTAGAAAAGAGGTTGGTTTTAAAGAATCTTCCTATATGGAAAACATAATGGCAACTATATCGGATACATAGTATATTATCAACTATCGTACCCTTATCTATGAAGACAATTTTATGCCTCCGAAGAGGTTTTATCTGTCGATCAAACCCGACCGGTTCCTCTTCATATTTTTGTTTGTGATTTGCAAAGTCTGGCATTTGTGATTCCTACCATATAGATGGGTAGTGGGTTGGGAATACTATCAAGAGAGAGTTTTGAATTATTTGTTCTTTTTTCATTATCAAAAGGAAAAATTGTTGTTCCCATTGGATCATTAATGGTTCATTAAGATTAGATTGATGATGTCCAAGAATATATATATATATATATATATATATATATATATATATACACACAGATAGAGAGAGAGAAAGAAAGAGAGAACTAGGTTTAAATATGGATTGACATCTATTGTGTGGACGTGTGGACAATGCTATTATGCGATAATGACAAAGAAAATATGTTGTTTGATAATGTGAATACATTCAATCTTACATAACTATTGTCATTATCACACATTATCACTAGTTAAACCGTCTATAAGGTTATTATATACTTTTTTTTATTATTTTCATATTGTCAAAATGTTTATTGATTCGTATTCTGTAAGAATGGAAATAAGTGAAAAACGATGCGTGAGAACAAAAATGAATAAGAATTAGTAAGAATGCAGGAAAATGACAATAGTTGTGTGAGGTTGAACGCATTTACATTACTAAACAACCTATTTTCTTAGTAATTCTCATAGAATAACACTGTCCACACGTCCGCACAATAGTTGTCCATCCACACTATAAACTAGCCCTATATATATATATATATATATATATATATATATATATATATATATATATATATATAAGAAAATATGGTAGCTTAAGTTCTTGGACATATACTTGGGTCGATGATGTATAAACCTATTGAGTTTTGTTCTTGGGATGTTAGCATCAATATGAATATGATTTTATTGATGTGTTATGTGTTCATGGACCTATTGCATTTTTCCCATTAGATCACTTGGTTGGTTTAAATTGTTTTGATGATTTTGTTCGCATACATGTTACATTTTTCTCTTATTGGATTGATTTGTTGATTTAAGTTATTTTGGTGATTTTATTTGTTGACATGTTACATTTTAATTTCTTTGAGGATTTACTAGTTTCAATTCCTTTGGTGATTTTCATTCTAAGAAATTTAGTGATTCATTATTCTTAGATTCAAGTTAGTCATTGTTATGGTTGATTTGTTCTAATGTAAATGTTACAGGTCATCAAGTGTTTGTTAGTCATTGATGTGGCTGATGTGTTCTAATATAAATATAACTAGACGAATACCTACGTGTTGTGCAGAATACCACAATACATTTGAAATCTTTACAAATATATGTTTTTTAAATATATCAATGACGTTGTTGTTAGCTCTTATATAATAAATCTTATAATAAGTTGGTATCAACATTGTTTGTTTTGAATTATATGATAATGTAGTCATCTTTTAAAGTTCTATAATCTCAATTGTCTCAATGACCTCTACCAGCAGGTAACTCATGAATAAAATTAAATATAATATATAGTTTAAAGATATTTATAGTTGTTGTTATGATTAATAAATTTTAAAAAGTTTATTTGTTTAATATTTAAATTTCTATCATTGTAATTATTTTAAACACCAAACATTGTTTTTGTTTTTAAAAGTAACAATATAATTTTTGTATATAATGTTACTTTTAACTATTGCTGTAGTAAGTTATTTAAAATAACTTATTTGAAAACTCTTAATTATTTAAAATTGGTTTCAAAAATTTAACTCTTTTAAAATTTATTTGACGAATATTATTAATTTCTTTGATTGTAATTATTTAAAACAACAAACATTGTTTTAATTTTTAAAGATAACATTATAATTTTTTATATAATATTACTTTTAACTATTATTATTGTATGTTATTTTTAAGCTACTTATTTGAAAATTCTTAATGATTATAAAAAATAGTTTTATAGTTTTTTTTTGTTAATTTAGGATTACAATTTAGGTTTAACACTATAATTTATAACTTTTAACTATTTATAAAATAGTCACTCGATTTTTTTTCATGTTTAACTGAAATTTTGATTTAAGTTAACCGTTTAACATTATATTGAAATTAATAATTTAAATCTTTTGCATAAAATCATAAATTATACAAAAGTTGTGACTTTAAAATGACAATTGCTCACATACGACAACATATTTAAATTAATAAGTTAACTATAATTTGTTAAAAAAATTAAACTCATAATTTTATAAATGAAAATAAAATATGATATTTTAATATTGTAGTTTAGTTAATTTATGATTAGAATTTAGTTTTTACATTATTTTAACATTATTAACCTGTAACACCTCAAATTTTAGACCAAAATTTTCATTTTTAGTTCACTAAAATCAGAGTTTCACAACCAAGTTATCAATTATATAATTATCCCTAAACAACCAGTATCACAAATATTAGAGTTCATAAACATGTCCCAGTAGTAAATCTCCCAGCACGTGTGTACAATCAAATCTTCGCATCCCCCGGTCCTCGGAAGTACCTGCCACATATAAATCAACAATTGTAAGCACAAATCTTAGTGAGTTCTCCAAGATAGCACATACAATACAACATACATAAACAACTATGGGTTATCAGCAACCTTGAGGACTATCAACAGTCCCAATGAGCTAACAGCACGCCCGATGGGTTATCAGCAACCCTGGTTGACTATCGGCAACCTCAGTCACATATAAATAACATAACATAACCACAACAGCTAGACCCAGCTGGTCATCATAAATACAACTATCTTACCATGCAGGTAAGAGTAAGTGAGGAGACTCACCTGAGACTAACAACACGAAAACCTAACACCCGAACTGTCGGATCTAGAATCTTCCTAGTCAACAAAATAATTAACTCTAATTAATAATTAAGCTCCAAAAACTCACCCGTGAGTCCAAATCCCACAGCTAAACCTTCTAAGGGAAAAAGGACTATTTTGCCCTTATCACGGTCCAAAAAACCCTAAATCTTGACCAAGGGTCAAAGTCAACAAAAGTCAACGCTCAACGAGTATGCTGAGCGTACCAATATTTATGTTGGGCGTACAACGAAGCCATCTTTCATCAGGGAAGGATCAAGCTACGATGCGCGTAGCCAGGAGTATGCCCGGCATACTCCGTCTGCCTCTACTTCCACCAAGTTAGTGTCTTAATCCATTAAGACAACTAACCTAACCACAGATCTGACTAATCTAAGATGTCTTAATCAATAAAGTCGTTGGCTTTAAGCCTTTGCATGGCTAGGAAGGACCCAATGCAATAATCTTTAGCTTCTAGTGCACTCTAAACTACTTTACTCATAAATGAACTAAAAGGACTGATCAGGGAACCGTTTTTATGAATCTAGAAGTCCTAAAATGCATGAAAGGACAACTACAAATCCTTGGAGTGCTCCAAACTCATAAATGTCCAATCTTGGGGACAAAAGTTCATAAAACGTCAACCATGAAGATCTAAATAAAGGCTTGCCAAGGTATAAACTTTATACCTGAAAATGGTGCACAAAAAGGGAAGGTTTCTGGATCTACAAGCTTGCTAGCCCCCACTCCTTATTCTCAAGCTTCCTTCTTCCACTACAGGCACCAAGAACACTTAAAAACTTGCAAAAGCTCACACAAGCAACACAACTTGGGATTAGGATTTTAGAGAGGG